CGAGTAAATCTACTAAATCAAATTCGCAGCTCTGTTGAGAGAAGGTCCTGTCCAGACAAGTCTCAAGTAATCACCCATGGTTCGGAAACGTGTGGGATTTCACCCTTGCCCTACTGAACCCAAATGATCTATTATGCGGCTATATGAGTTTTGAGGTTAGAAATGGAAATGATTGTGCATTCCTAAATAAGAAGCTCACGTGAAGAGGAAAGGAAAGGGGGCGGGAATGGTTTCTAACAAGAATAATTTGCCGTTTAGAAATCAGCCAAGGCTCCAGTGAAAACAGAGATACTGACTGATGAGGACGCAAGGTGTTACATGTCAGAGCAGTAGAAATTATCCAAAGAGATATCTATGACTTGATTATTTTATCAAGCACTGGAAGGGAGCCACCTGACTGGTTCCTCTCCCTGCTTCGAGGACTCTTGAGACAGAGAACAATAAGAATAAGCCGTTTTTAGAGTGATCATTTCCATGAGGCCTAGAATAAGCCTGCAGTTGCCTTTGTTTGTCAAGTGAGCGGCCTTTCGGTAATTGAGTGCAAATCCAGTGATTGCTTTCAAAGGAAACTGGGCAACCGTTGGCCAGGGCCGGGGGTTTATTTATTCGGATGAGGCCCAGCTAAAGTCACTTGATGCAAACCCCTTTGCTAATATGATTTTCTCTATGCTCCATCAGCTGTGTTTAGATCTCGCGATTTCCCCTCGGCCGTATGTTCAGATTGTGAGCGTCTGATTTGTTTATAGCTGTCCCTGTTTAATAATCTGGAACTTCAGATGAATAATGGACCGTTTTGCTACCGTGCCCAAAGAAAATAAGCTAATAGTATCATTACCTTGTATCTCCTTTCTTCACTAGGGTCATTCTTTATCCTTAAGGTAAACAGGATGCCATACTACTGGATCGAAGCCAGTTCTTTGATGTATTTTTCTTTCAAAGACAGCATCAGGTTTTGCATAGTGGTTCTAGCCTTGATATAGAAATGGTCTGCTAATTTCGCTGCCTAGTTAAAGAAAACATTTACCAGTTCAGTGAGCAGGATGCATTTCAGAGCAGGTGTTCTTCACGGGAACTCTCTGTAGTCTGCGAAACTCATGAATGCCCTCTGCGAGTCTCAGGTACTGGAATGGACCCCACCACTTACACTGCCTGCATGGGTCTCGGATGAAGGCAGCAAAGACAGCTGCCTAAAATGCATTCCCTTTGGTCTTTTGTGTGCTTGAATGACCCCCCACTCGTGATGTTGGCTCATGCTGAAATATCCATTATTCTTGTAAGGACTTGCAAGTAACAATGGCTTCACTGGGGACATTTACACACTCCAGAGCACCTATATGCGCGTTACAGGCTCAAATCAGTCACAGTTTGATGGCGTTTCTTTGTCTTCACTGAATCAGAACGTAGCATGATCGTCAACTGTCGCCATAGAGATCTACACTCTCAAAAGGCCCTTCAATTTTGATACATTTTTGTCGGTTTTTATACAAAAAACACAATATTCCACTTCTTTCTAATTTTTTTAACCATGCTGATAAGACTGATACATTATTACTATTTGAAAAACGTGTATCAGCAACTTTGCGTTTTTGTCTACATAATTTGAAAATGCCAGCTGCTGTTTACACAGTGTCAAAATTGCATGATGTATGTAGCAATGGAAATGGACCAAAATGACTTAGAATAAAACATTATTACATAAACCTACTTGGAAAGCTAAGAAGGTTTCTTGCTTTTCCTACAAAGTCACTTTTTTGGAGATACAAGGTTTAGTTTTGACAGTGAACAATGTAAATAGCCTCTGTTCTGGTTGGCTGCCCTGTATTGTGCTACTTTCAATAAGCAGTCCAGGCTGAAACGCTCCTTATAAATCCAAAGTCAATGGGCAGGGTAAACAGCTGTAGGCAGAACTGGTGGACATATGCAAATGTGCTGGTTCTCATGACATAACAAAAACTATTGGAAATTCAAAATAAGCAGCTTTTGCAGCTCAAATTCCATATCTAGACTGTATGGATTAGAGAATGAATTATCTTTTTTTGGTTTTGGGACATTTGCTATGTTTACATATTACATTAAACAGTTTGTTTGAAAAAAATTTTTTAAATAAAGGTGCCATGCAGGGGTCTTTGACGTGATCACACAGAACAACTACGTTCCTGAAGAACCTTTCAATTGCCATTTATGTAAATGAGATGCTAATGTGAATAGCCTCTCTATCCTCTCCACATAATGTAAAGATTCTTATACCATTTAAAGATCTGTCTTAGAGCCATTTTCCTAAGCCAAGAATCATTTAAGAACATAGATTTTTTTTTAGCAGTCTTAGATCTAGTAAAGCAGCCAGCAATGCTCAGTGTACATACTGTTAAATGCATCTTTTGTTATTTATTTATATTTTTTTAATAAATAGGAATAAGTTACACCTGTTAGCCTGATGGCTCGACTCTTATTTTTCTGTCCAGCTGGACACCTGACCAAAAAATGAGGCGAGATATTCTATGAGTGATAAGTCCCATGTGAAAACAGCATTAGATTTTGATCTGTAGTCTTTGGCTTTGTCCCAGATTTGAGGCTGCCACTCCATTGGTTGTCACGGCATGCCTGAGATGCACACTGTCCTTGCAAGTGCTGAATTCAAGTTCTCATAATATTGATCTTGGAACCAGATTCCTATCTCATATCTCCTCGCAGCAAAATGCTCTGCTGCACAATTATAGCGGGGGAAATAGGCTGGAGCTTGTTAAGAAAGGCGTAACATTTCACAGTGAAAGGGGATGACTCTGACATCTGACAGAAATATGCTGGAGGAAACATGAGCGTTTCGACCATTTCCTACCAGACCTTATATTCTTCCATTCACTCTTAGACAGACACTCGACTGTTTTCACTGGCTTGGAATCTCTCCTCCCACCATGTTAACGCTTTTTTGCCATCATTCCATCTGATCATGCCCTGTGGTGTTGATCTAAGTTTAGTTTTCTTCAGATGCCAATTATCACCTTGGTTTAGAACAATCACGGTAAAAAATCTGATTCGCAATCAGTTCTCAAGGACAAGTAACACCGGTGAGCCTAGATAAGCTCTCCTTGAACATTCCTGCATTACTGCAGTCCTACTTACTCCATCCAAACATGCTCTTCTGATAAAGTTTAATGAAATGTCATGAAATGGTATGAAGGCTGCTCCAAGCAACAATGGGCCAAAAGGAAGAAATGAAGGGCTTGGTTTCAGAAGATTGGCTTGCTGAGTGCCTGTAATCAGGTAAGATTAAGTCTGCCAATTTAGGGCAGCAGAATTGTGAAGTGAGTTGAAGCGCTTGACCTCTGATTGATGCCTCAGATACCCATGCCCCTTTCAGTGCCAGGTTGGATCTGGCAGAGTTAGACAGCACAGTGAAGGAAGCTATTGTGGATCACCTTGGCCCTCCTGGTATCTCAGCTGTCCTCACCTTGAATTTCTGTGGCCAATGAAGGAGTGAGCTGAAAGTGCTGACAGGGTGAATGTAGGGGGTTGCTGAGCCCAAATACAGGAGAGGGATGTGGTTTTGTGGCCCCAGGCAGCGCTCAAAGCACAAAATCAGAAAAAAAGAAGTTTGGCGTTAATGTGATATTTTGGAGCATGCCCCAGCCAGGCTAAAGCAAAGGCAGCAAGATTTGAACTGATTATTTACTATTGCCTGTAGACCTATCTAATACAGATGGATGGATGGATGGATGGATGGACTGAATGAAGAACTAAGGGTTTCTGACGTGATGGGTGTCCATTGGTCAGCTTTACATAAAATGTAGACAGATACACAAACCCACCAATTACAAACGCTTCGAGGCAGATGACGTGAAATATTGAAATTAACGCAGGGGCAGGTTCGTGCACCCCAGAGGTTTAAGGTACACAGCTAAACCTTAAAACCATTGTTATACCTTTGAGGGCACATTTACATCGCTTGTACCTTGATGAACAAAAAAATGTACCTGCACAGAACCTTTATTTCTGACAGTGTATTACATGTCTCCGTGAGTAAGCTAGCTAGCTAACATGAAGTATATAGAGAATGTGTCCAGATGTGGGTGGGGTTGGTTGGCACATGTCAGCCTGCTCAAGTTTAGGGCTAAGCAGGCCTGAGTGTATGCAAAGTAGTATATTAACTAACACATCTAAAATGCGGTGCTATACTATATCACTGTCAATTTATATTACATTTGTAACAAGTTATTCTTACCTCCAAGCTGCAGGTCATTTGATGATAAGTGAGCCTTTCTCAAGATGAAATACCACAATTTTGAAACAACACTATTTATGTATTAAATATGAACTGTTAAATATTAAGTATAAATAGAGAACTTCTGCTCAACTAATATCTTATGAATGGTATCTACGCTTTTACTCGTGTACACCACTCTTCAGTACAAGCCAGTAAGAAGAATTTTGGTTGCCATTTAATGTTTACATTTGTAGTTTGGTTTCAGTTTGCTGCTAGCTGTGTTATCATAATGTATAGTACATTTGTGCACAGCAGAGAGTGAAAACTATGTCAACGATGTGTGTATATATATATACATATATATATATACACATAGTAAGCAAACACGTATCACACATATGGTAGGGAGTTTGCATTGTATTGTGTAGTTCTGGGTGTTTGTTACTAAGTGTAGCAGCAGTTGTTTCAGTTTCAAGACGCAGGTAAAAGCGAAATGACCAGCTTCAGAAAACTGCAGCAAAAGTTCTAGTACTATAGTATAATGAGTAACTGTATGGTGAAACTCAGTGTATTCTCTATTACTGTGGAAAAAATTAAAAAAGGACAAAAAAAATTGTAAGAATATGTGTGGAAGACAACAAAGAAATCAATACATACACATTCTTTGGTGACTGAAGTAATGCACACTCACCGCATACACTTTGCAGGATCATTGATATATATACTCTCTCTCTCATCTCTCTCTCCCTCTCCATCACAAACACAAACATGCTCCCACCCCTGCTGCCTCGATCCATAGAGCTCTCGGACCGCACGCTCAGAGGAGGACAGGGAGACGCTGTGGGATGCCTGGGGCACATGGAGTGAGTGTTCACGCACCTGCGGAGGAGGAGCTTCATATTCCCTCAGACGCTGTCTTAGCTCCAAGTAAGTCAATTCCCATGTTCACACTCATCTCATGTCCTCTTTCACACTTCCTGTCAACTTTTCACCACTTCTGTTTCGTCTTGGCAGAGCAACCATGTCTGGTGATATATTGCATTTGCCTTTTGTTTTTAATTTTGTTAGGCCACATGAGATAATTCCAAGGGCTTAGCACTGAAAGCAAAGACAGTAGCTACATCCATAAGAAAGAGATGTTAACTATATTTTATGAAATTAAAAGCTATGGTTGTAAAATAGAACTGGCTGTGCAATGTTTGAATTCACTGTAAAAGACTCAGTATGCACACATATGAAAGTACACCAACTGAATACTCTATAAGAGTTATTAAAAACAATTTACTTGTCTCTCAGCCAATCCACAGCCTCTTCTTTCAAGTGAAGGAAAAAGCTTTGACTCCTCTAAACAAACCTGAAGTGAGAATGGTGGGGCAGTAAAGTCTGCATTTTTAAACTAAGACATGATGGAACGTGATGAGGAAAGTATGATACCTGACACACATTTTGATTTCATTCCTGAAGCTGAGAAGTTTTGGAATAAAATATACGCTAGTCCAAACTCACAGCTCTAAGTCGGACTATTAACAGACAGGCTTATACTGGCTCTAAGGTAAGCTAAACTTTATCTAGCTTTGAAGAAGAGCATTTTAATATGATATCTAACAAAAAAATGTGTTACAGAAAAAAAGATCACTGTACCAATGCAATACTCACTTTTGTCATTAAAATGTACATAAAGATAAATAGTGATATACATTATGTATATATACATAATGATATTCTTTGTATTGTTTTATTAAAATGTACTAAAAGGCCTCATGTGAAAGACCTCCTCAGCACTGATACCTCGATTTCTAAGTTTGTGCTGACTACCTGAAGCGTTAGCTTTAGGATTAGCTCATCTGAAGGATTAGCGTCCATAAAGCCTCCTTCTTATTAGTGGTCTGATAAATGTAAATGTGTTTTTCCTAATCCTGTTTTTGTTTGCTTTAAATCAGTCTATTTCAAATTTGTTGGATCTCCAGCCTCACAGGCATAGATTCAGGGAGGTACAGTTGGTAAATTTGACCAAACAGTATATATTGTGGTGTCATGTGTTAGAAGAATCTGAGAAGGCCATAATTTCTGCTTAGGAAAAGCTCTTTTTATTGGACAAGGCAGAAAAGGCCACTGAAACACAGCCGGGATAACAAAGAAGGTCACTTCTGGCCGTGTAACTTCACTCCATGATAGACACTTAACCCACACTAACTAAATCCACAGCCCCACACAATACCACACAGCAAACACATACACACCATAACCCAGCAAACAACAACAACAGCAACGATAGCAATAACAAATGTCTCTTTTAACCAGGCGATGGAGCGCGTGGCACAACTTTGCATACCGCGCACCTAAAACCCTGTTCTGCAGCACAGAGCAAGTGGCAACTGTCACAGTATTATATCTCTTGTAACAGTGAGATTGATAATTCAGCATGTTTGCATATTGAATTACCACTTACTGGCGTATTCTTAATGTGACATATCTTTAATGCTAATAATAAGTATAAAACTATTATGATGAGTAATGTGACATGAGTGCAGCTTATTGTGTGTTAGCACAGGTTCGGTGAACGCTACCAGGTAGCCTGAACTAGCCCATACTAAAACAACTAAAGAAGGTGGAACTTGTCTGAATTTTTCTGTCAGTCAGATGTGCTGTTAATGAAATAATCTTTGATCATTATGCTGTTTAACAGCCATATACTGTTAATGATATACTCTGCTTTATTGCAATTACTGTGGCTCCTATGGTCATTGCTTTATTAGCAAATACACTAACAACTGACAGAGGATAAGATTTTACTTGGGCGTACAGATGCTGTCCCCACCTGTTGAAACTTGCTCTTGAATTATTGGAAAATTAAATGCGCAGTCATCCAACTGAAAGTAACATTGCGTGCTCAGTCCATAAGAAAGGAATGCTTTCGACTGTGCAAAAATAGCCACTTGGGAAATTAATTCACACTCAACTGCACCACGTCCCTGAAGTCCTTCAAAAAATTACACCATAATGAAAACATCCATTGACTATTTGTAGTATGCACTTAAAGGAGTCAGGTGTAATCCTTCAGTTCTAAAAGTGCTCAACTGGTTCCCATTAAGATCCTCCATGATGGAAGTGCGTCCTCTCTCACCGCGTGGTTTAACATCCGCAAAATGGATGTGGACGCTCCTGTAATGGCGCAAGTAAATCTCTGCATGAACACTTCTCCCTAGGGCTGTAATAGAAGTGCTCAAAATACATTTTATGCGACTGTTAAAGACTCCTTGTGGGTCAAGAAAGCCCCTCTGTTGCTTGTGTTTCCCAGGCAAAGGGGCTCCAGCCGACGTCTGTATTTCAGCAGATGACATGGCTGGTAAAACGAGCAGACTTGATTATCGACAGCGCATAAAGCACATCCAACAAATCACAACCCACTCCGTACTGCGCTGATTCAAGAAATTCATTTAAGAGAAGGAGGGGGTTGTGCACACAATCAGGAAGCCAATTATAGAGATTGCTGTGGCATGTGAGGCTGCTTTCTAAACGTTGTCACATTTATTGGCTGGGGAATATCTGTGCAATGTACTCGTGGAATCCATGCTTTGTGGTATGCAGCTTAAAAAGAATCCACCCAGCTTTGCATTAAGAGGTCAAGTCTGTGTTGCCTTGTTGCCTTGAGACTTGTGTAGTCCTGCCACCATGACAAGATCACTTGAGTAGATTGAGCTACAAAGAATTGGCCAGTGTATCACCTTTATCCACACTGAGGTTAAATGGGGGGCAAAATAGGTTCTTTGGATGGATAAAAGAACCATTTTTGATTCCCTAAAAAACTTTAACAGAATGTTTTTTGTAGTACCAGTTTAAAGAACCTACAGATGTTAATGTTATATTGTTATATATTATAAACTGTTACATTTTGTTAGAGGCACTGTTTCAATACATACAAATTTTAGAATGCATCTAATGCACAAATGAGACTTTGGAGTATCCTGGGGTGAGGGGTGTTACGTTCGAAAGAGCCTCAAAAATGTAATCTTGGTCAAAAAATGAGCATATACTTTGTCAGTATTATCATAATCAATTATATTCGATTATAACATTCAAAAGCAATGCTGTTGAATTGACACCTTCAGATTAATGCATTTCACGCCCTAACTGCAGACCACTGATTTCATTTTGGGGGAGTCAGGAAGTATTATGTTCCAGAAATATTGCTATAGTGAGTCATGCCACAACCAAAGGGAAAAATGTTTTTGAATCCTGTAATAACTGACGGCACATCACTACAAGTATGGGCCAATCAACCACAGACCTACCTTTTATAGCATGTTAGGTGTCTAGTACAAATGGTTACAGTTTTGCAGTCTTTTATTTATTTATTTTTTCTTTATCCCAACCAACTACTATGTTTGCCAGCTAGGTGTGTAGCCTACAGGAGTTAATGCAACTTTCCCAAAAGTTCCCAAAAGTTCCTATAATCTGGAGAAGTAGTCAAGCACAGTTAAATGTTGGCATTGGAGAAAATGATGCAGCCGTGTAAACATTACCATGGTGATGCCCAAGCTGTTGGGTGCATTCATCTGGATGTTTAATTGGGCATTGTGTTTTCTGTCAGGAATAGGATTTTAGAGTTGGCCCAGTTTGACCAGTAAGAACACTGTCCAGGGAACACAGTGTAAATTATAAAAATGTCTGCATGATACTAAAACTTTGTTATAATAAACATCCAGCAAAGTTTGAATAAAAACAAAATATAATAAAACCTGTCTTTAAAATAGCTTATTAGACCCATCTGAAAACTGTCATGGTCCTAATATTCTGATGAGCATGTGTGATTAACAGCCCTCAGTCCACAGCTCCAAGTCTACTATGCACTGAAGCAGAACTGAAAACTATTTGTATTTGTATGACGACATCTTAAAGAAGGTGAGGTTCTTATTGACTTTACTGCTGAATGTGCGTTCTGGGAATGCTGCTTTTGCCGCTTGATTAAACAAATGGATGAATGGACGTTCTTGATAGCTCAGACATGCTTGCTAGGTTAGCTTTTGTTTGTCGTCAGCTTTCTCATAGTAAGTTTCTAAAACTCAAACAGAGATGGAGACTGTTGGGAACACAGATTTGTTAATGATGTGCAGGCGGGTGCAATGCACGTCAACTTTGTATAAGGTGAGGACACTGCTTAGGTACACACTACCCAAGATTAGGACACCCCAGATTGCATCAGCCATTGGTCATTGGAAAGTTATTCATAGGACATACTTTGTATGTGTATTGTTCACCCTCAAGAGAAAGATTAACCTACAGAAGAAAGAAAACACATATTTAGGTTCCCTGGGGCTTTAAATGATGACCTTAAAATTTGCAACATTGTCACTGGCATCAGAAGACATCTCTTCTGTTCAGAAATCTGGAGGAGCCTGGCTTCCAAGTGGGATCGTCTGGTAGGGATGCCCCTGCCGCAGACCTGTACCTCAAGTTGTACATTTCTGATTTTGCTGTATGGCCTGTGCAAGGATAATCATAGTGCTGCACTCTGTAGGAATTGGACTGCACGTTGCCCTGATCTGTTATTCTTTATATGGCTGCTTTACAAACTGGTTCTGCTTGGCCCAAATTGCACACACCCACCACCCCTCGCTCAAAAATGAAGGAGCATTTCTGCCTTGCGGTTTGATTATACAGAGCACTTTTCATTAAGCATCAGTGTGTGAGTGAGAGCCGCTCGGTTGAGTAAAAACCTCAAGTTGAAATGGCAGTAAAATTGACCCCTGTGATTTTGTGTTAAGAGTTGTTTGAGGTTCAGGCCTTTACGAGGAGCTGCGGTCGGGTTTCTGAGTGCAGGGGGGTGTTTGTGTGAACTGACAGGCCTTGGGGGGGTTGGGAGTTTGGAATGTGGGTAAAGCAGGCAGTCATCGCATGGGAATGGGGATCAGTTAGCCTGGCCTTGG